TGTGTGTGGTGTGTGTATGGGTCTGTGGCATGTATGTATACGTGTAGTGTGTGTGGCATGTGTGGTGTGTGTGGTATGTCTGTGGTGTGTTTGTGGTGCGTGTGTCTGTGGCGTGTATGTATGTGTGTGGTGTGTGTGGTATGTGATGTGTGTGCACACACTGACATGTACCTTTCTCTTACTTCCTAGCGGCTTACACTCATGCCCACAGAACCATGGAATACTGGAGAAGGAGAAGGCCTTAGGAGGCTGTCTAATCCATTCTCTCATTTATCTCAAGAGGTAAGGGAGGCTCAGAGGAGGTCAATAAACCCATGACAAGACCACTCGCTCCTAAGAGGTGAAGCTGGGACGGGAGCGTGGGCCAGCCTCGACTCTGAAGTCCATGCTCTTCCTTTTCAGTGATAAGAAGACCTGCCCCTGAGAGAAACGCCCACAACATGGACGGCATCACTCACTACCAGCGAAGAGTGCTCGCGGTTGCCAGGTGTCTCCCAGACTCAGCGTATGAGGCCATCTGCCCACTGGGGCCCCAGACTAGTTCCGGGTCTGGCTTTCGTCTCTCCCCGCCGCCCTCTCACCCCTCCTCAGCTACGCTCTGGACAAACGAGCCACCTGCCCCTAAGTGCGCTTACTATTTACCGGTCATGTTCCAAGCGCGGATAAAAGTAAACCTGGTATTTATTACAAATGGGGTAACGCAGCCACTGTTCTTTTCTATAGTAAAGGCTGTTGCTGTTTCTGGGCACCATCAAGTTGATTCCGACTTGTAGCAACCCCATATGACAGAGCAGAACTGCCCCATAGGGTTTTCTTGGCTGTAACCTTTATGGAAGCAGATCACCAGGTCTTTCTTCCACACAGCCTCTGGGCGGTTCTAACTGCCAGCCTTTCGGTTAGCAGCCAAGTGCTTAACCACTGCACCACCAGGGCTCCTTATAGTAAAAGTTAAAATGCTATAAATTTAAGAAGTAAATAAAATCACTATTCTGTCAAACTATATAGCATATAGAGCTGAGAGTTTTCCTAAGGACAAATCATCTTATGTGTCTGTTTAAAAACTCTGCTATGATATAATTTGTTTTGAAATATAAGATCTGAGGAAGGAGCAAGATCTCTTTCTAAATGAATCAAAAATGGTTTGTAAAGGAATCGGAAGATTGCAAGGGATAATACTGCAAAGAGAAGCATCACGGAGTGACTAGTTTATGACTCCAAGTATCTGATGTAAATTAGAATTAAATCCACTCTGCCTTCAAAGGACAGGAAACAAGGAAGGCAAAGTGGTCAAGGGAAGGAAAATTCTCCTGACTAGAAAAAGTCCAGTAACAAGAACTTCCTGTTAAGAAATGGGAGGGATACCAGGCAGAGATGCTTTTTTTCCTTTTGGCCAAGCCCCAAGAGAGAGAAGCCCACTCTGACAAGACAGCCACTGAAATGCCACAGGGAATTATTTCTTCACTTAATTCAGGAAGAGGTTGGGAAACCCGGGTGAGCCTCTCAGCACAAAAACATCAGGGACTCCAATTTCAAGCCCTGGAGATCAATTTTCAAGCTCTAAAGCGCTGGTTCAGCAAAGAGCGAAAGGTTCTCTCTTTAGGACAGGGAGAAAGGAAAGGGGCTGGAGGGGTGCCAGCGCCTCTCAAATGTTTTCCTGTGCGTGCAGACACCGTTTTGCAGGTCTTGGGGTGCGCTGAGCTCCACTGCTCCCAGGGGATGCCCACCTGCGGATCTCCAACCACACTTTGAGCAGTAAGCACTGAGGCCCTGCAGCACACCACACATACTGTTGGGTACCTACCATGAGTCTTCCACCACCCATCTGTCAGTCTGTCGTACGGTGGAGGCAAGGGCAAATCAACCAAGAAGTAAGGTACACACGGGCTTAATTGTGTTTACTTACTAATCTGCAGTGCACAATTTCACACGGGTTTCACCACATCTTTTTTTTTTTTTGTCCTTCTGCAGACACAACACACCACGTGTAGCCTAATCAATCCATTTAATTAAAATTGTTGAAGAGCTTAAGTTGAAAAACAGGTGAAATTGTGCACTACAGATTACTAAGTAAGCACAAG